GAAAGGCATCATTCTGAGAGGATATTACTATGTATTTTATGAATAAATCACTTACACACAGTGAGAAGTCGGCAAGCAAAATTATGATGAGCCATGGCATGCAGCCCAAAATTAAAGTTCATTAGTAAGATATGGAGATTAATTACTCCACTTTTGCATGTTTCTTATCATAACCTTTTTTATTAGCAGAAGTATTTACCGGTTCTCCAGTATAAAATGTTGGTCTAGCAAAAACAATTAGAAGGTTCGAATTGATCCTTTCCGAAGAATTAAACGGCCTTCTTGAACATTTCTTTTATTTGGTATGTAACATTGATGATGCAGACCGATAGACTTGAACCTTGTTCTTACATTAAAATCCACTTAATCCATTTGTTTGGTTAGCGTTAAAACACTGAAAAGTGTAGGAAAATGAAAAAAAGAAAAGACAATTTTTCCTTTGTTTTGATCATCTAGAAGGTATAATTTCTCAAGAAAGTTTTTTTCCCCTCAAGTATTAAATTTTTCTGTAAACATCTACTTTGGTTTTTCACAAATTATGTAGAAAATTTTTTATTTTTCGTAAAAGTTGTCTTATTTTTCCTGTTTTGCCCACTTACCTTTTTTCCCATTAAATTGATATGATAATGATAATTTAGTCCATGCACCAATTTTTCATTCAAGTCAAATGCATATTAAAAAATAAATTTTCTTTTTTATTTCTTTTTTTTCATTTCACTTCTACTTTTTTTATTTTATATCGATATGATAATGATAATTTAGTCCATGCACCAATTTTTCATTCCAGTCAAATGCATATTAAAAAATAAATTTTCTTTTTCATTTCTTTTTTTTCATTTCACTTCTACTTTTTTTATTTTATATCGTGAATTTCTTTTTAACCAAATAGAGCCAGCAAAATATGCTGCTTTAAGTGCTATAATCCCTGTAGATAGATTGAAATGCTCTAAAAGCCACTCAAAATCATAGGGACCATCATGATATGATATCTGTCCTGAAGATATGGATCTATAAGTTTGTCTTTCAGTGGAAGTAAATCAAAGCTTACTTCCAAAAAACTACCTAAATGGATATTTCTTATTCAGATGCCTGAGTTCAGTACAAATAAGGTTGTACTAAGTTAATGTCTTGGATGTTTTGTGTTACTTTGTATATACTGATCGATCTCAAAGTACAGCAGAGGTAATGCAAAACATGGTCAATTTTGAGGATGAGTGACTGTCAAGCTCCACTGAAAGAGACTAAAGTAAAGATTCAACAAGGTCCAAAAATGGGAATCGGGTTAAGATTAATCCCAAGTTTTTGGATTAAGCGAAACTTGTGACTTACTTCAGTTTTAACTTACTCTGATTGAGTTGTAACATTTAGTATGATAGAAACAAGAATCAAAATTTCATTTCGAAATATCCGAAATTTTTCCCTTTTTAAGGAGATCGAAACGAATCAATGATGAAATCGAAATTCTAATAATTCAATATGTTCCATAATGTTTCAAAATATTTAATTATATTTTAATCCATTTACACAATTGTTTCAGAATGTTTAAAGATATTTCAAGATATTTTGATATATTTCGACCAATGTTTTGAAAAACAATTCTTAATTTTTTTTTTTTATTCTGTTTTCGAAATGGGTCGAAACGTTTCCATTTTCTAAGTAACCGAAATAATACACCGAAACGAAATTTTGATTATTAGATAAAAAACATGTTTCAACCTCATCGAGTACGGTAGAAAAAGCATCACACAATCACTTTTTTTTTTTTTTTAAGTTTAATGGTCAGGAGTGTCTAAATTAACTTACGCGTACTTCAACTAATCCCCTCTCCGGTCCGATCCGGTCACTTTTAGTAGGATAAAAAATCACTAAGATAATTGGCAATATTGGTTCAAGTATCACATGAAGTAAAGCAAACCAAGACATTTTGACATGCTCAAGTTCAATTAGGGTAAGTATTTTGGCTGCCTTTCCTTGCGCAACAAAAGAAAGACGCTTGCTCGCTCAAGAAAATTCCTAGCAATCATCAATCAACCCGAACTGGATGGTTCGTACAGGTTGAGCAATGAACAAAGTATAAACCCGCAACATTAATCATAGATTTAATCACTACATGTAATTTGCAGACGATTGCATGCATCTAGGGTTTGTGTTGTCGATCCGAAAAGCATATCCCGACTTAAAATGGTAATAATTTTCCATACCAAGTTTTATTTTCTAAGATGCATGGAATGTTTTGTTGGTCATTAGCAGATCATCCATACGTTTTGCATGCATACGATCCATAGATATCAAAGCTTACTTGGTTCTGTTTTTTCCCCAAGTAATAGCCCAACACTAAGATCCATAGAAATGCTGCAATGAGGTGGTATAAGGTAAGAGCCAAACATGAGAAAATTAAGCCCATGCATGTGGGTATATGTTCAATCGATATGCCCAAAAATGTTATCCAACACAAATTTTTGTTTCCAAACATGAAATAAATGAAACCTCGGATTATATCTATCCGATCGTACCTCTTAATCTCCTGTTATTCCATGAACCTAACACTTTTCATATTGGTATGCTTCGGGGTTGAAATATGCGATATTTGCAATAATTTCATTTGTGTAAAAAATACAAAAAAAAAAAAAAAAAAAGGTAAATTTAAGAAGCTGCAGGTGGGCCGGCCCAATAGATAGGCCAACTAAACAATCGCCAAGGGCCTCAAAAAAAAAAAAAAACAGAGGGCCCCAATTATGTCTCTAGTCTTCACTTATTATTTTAAACACAAAAAACTTAATCACCTGCGGCATCTTTTCAATGCTCAAATTACTAAAATATCAAATGTCGTAATATAATTAAAGTCTACAAATGAATCTCTCTATCTCACACACACACTAACTAGTCTATATTAAAAAAAAAATGTATACTTAGTTACTCATATCACTAAAAAAAAACTCTTTTATTTTCCATGATTTGTGTATACACATATAAACATTAATAAATTATTTTTTATATTTTTATAATATAATTATTTAATTCACTATTTTTTTTTTGTGAAGGTATAATTTATTAGACAATTTAAAAGATGAAAAAAGAATCAATTTATACAATCTCTATTTATCATGTATTATTGTTCTATTTTTATTAAACCTTCTCTTAGTTTTAACACTTTGTTTTACTTACAAGAATTTTGGGTTTTAAATATGTCAACTGTAAAAATAAGAATCCAAATATTAAAAGCATAAAACTTGAATAAGATATACTAACAAAATGTAAATATAAAAAATTAATCACTAATTTTACATCACAAAAAATGAGAATAACAAATTTTAAATGAAATTTAGTTGTATGTTAAAATTATATTTATAATAAATTTTTAAAGGGCCCCATTTATAGGACGGGCCGGCCCAGAGGTAGCCCATAAATCATGGCTTCTGTCTACCTCCGAAGTCTGAAGATATGGAGACTACACATCCATAACTCCACTAACAGCCCAAAATTATTCTGATGGAACAAGAAAGGTTACGGCTTATTCACTACAATGGAGAAGTCTGCGGTGCTTAAAAATTAAAATAATAATAATAATAATAATGGGGCATTATAAAATTTGTCATTTTTTTTTTTGACAATTTTTTAAAAATTATTTTTTTTTAATGGTAACTTAGCCCAAAAATATTATAACTCAAACCTTAAAAAGTTATAACATGATTAAAAACAATTTTAAATCTTTAATTTTAAATAAACTCAAGATATTATATCAACACTTATAAAATTTAAAAATATGGTACTGAATTTTTTTTAATACGATACTCTTCTCCCAACGCAATTCAACAAGTTTTTATCCCACCAAATGTTTCTTGTGGACTGGCATAAAACTCTACTTCATCCAATCAACTCTCTCGAGGTCAAATCAAAATAGCCAAAAAAAAAAACAATTACATTAAAATAAAATAAAAGAGAATTTTAGTACTTGGATACTTACTTAGCTCACTGTTTGTCATTCACGTTGCTGCTGGTTTTGGCTACGCCTAGCTCACAGATTTTGAGTTCTTTATGTCAAAGGCATCCCCACCAAAACACACCATTGTGGCCAACGAAAATGGTGTTTTCTTCTCGAATTTGTAGCTATTCCAACATAAACTTCATTATGGACATACACTTTTTAATTATAGTTTCCTTTATGATATTGCTTATAACAGGTTTGAGTTTGATAATAATTCAGATGATTAACACACAATAAATACGTAAGACTTAATTGATTTCACGGGTTACAAACCATTAAAGACGCCGTTTTCTTTGAGATTTTTTTTCTTTCAAAAGTCTAAATTAAGATCACGTGATAATAAACCTTGGAATCTTTTTTTTTTTTGTTTTTTTTGGTTCGGTAATCAGGAGTATTTAGATGAACTTACGCGTAGCTCGACTAATTTTCTCTTCAGTTTAATTAAAGACAAAAAATTAACTAAAATTTGAATTCAACACATATTGAAAACTTTTTACTCCCATTAGTTATCACGCCTATTCGTTCTCAACTGCTTAGAGAGGCAACTAGGGCTATCAAACCTTCATGGTAAAAAAATCAACAAAAATGTTATTTAACTTAATTTATTAATTTAATTTATCAGAAAATTAATTAAACTCTCAATAAATATTGGGATATATTATCACTCTAATAATTATGAAAAATTATATTAATAAATTAAATTAATAACTATATCCAATTCAATTGCTCAAAAATCAAAACAAATAAAAAAGGAACCGCCATAAATGAATCCTAAACAGTAAACAGAAGAAGAAGACAAAAACAATGACAACATATTAGAAAGATAAATGAAATGAAAATAAGAATTGAAGGCCATGGAGGGTACGTGGCAAGTAACAAGCACTAGGAGTTAGATCAATTGCTACGCTAGTCGTCCTTGTGTCTGCTCTTTCTCTATCCTATATGCTTCGTGGGAAGGGCCACCACTCCCCTTGTGCCATTCCACCCCCCCTTTTCCCCCACCCCCCCCCCCCCCCTCCCTCTCTCTCTCTCTCTCTTTCAGTTTCTCTCTATCTCTCCCTCTTATTCCTATTTGTTTTCCTTTAATTTCCATCAATCAAACCTTGCCATAGCCACCACCTCCACCAGAGAGACAGACAGAGGGTTGGTGAGGAAAAGACTATGAGATGGTGGGACTGAGTGTAGTGCTTGAAGCCCAAAATTTTAATGGCAAACTAACTCCACAAGTTATCAATAAAGCCACTATGATCAAACCCTCTTCTCCTAGTGCTCCTCCCTCTCCCTCCACATCTTGCCGAAATAATTTTCCGGCAACTAGCTTTCTTGACCATTGTTTTCTCTGCAAACAGAAACTCTTGCCTGGCAAAGACATCTACATGTACAAGTAAGCATATCTCTCAAAACCACATCTTCCTTTTCCTCTCTCTCTCTAAATACCAGATCCTACTTAACTGGTTCATACCATCGTCAAACCTTCCCTGCAACTATTTTTGCTGTACACAATAATATATTCAACAGACAAACAGTTTCTTTTTTCAAATTATTTAGAACTTCAGTGAGATCTGGTTGTAGTTGGCTTGATTTTGATGAGTTTTTCATCCTAACTTGATTTGGTTGATATATATGGACACACACACATGTGTATATATATATATCTAACTGTATACCCTGGAATGAACACAGAGGGGACAAAGCTTTTTGCAGTGTGGAGTGCAGGTGCAGGCAAATGTTCATGGACGAAGAAGAGACGTTCAAGACTAAGAATAAGAGAGAAAACTGCTCATTGGCCGCCATGAAACCACCACCCACCTCATCATCATCTTCTTCACCTTCTCCATCTCCTTCTTCTTCACGTAGTCGCAGGGGGGCCAGAAAAGGTGGAAATGGGTTTGCGTGCTGAGTTTAGTTTGGAGAATCTTTTCCAGCTTTGCCCTTCTCATATTTTGTAATGACTTTGATGTCCTTTTCTTTTTCTTTTTGTTTCCTGGTATGAAGGCAGTAGCTTTCATTACAGCCCATGGATTGTGTCCCGTTGTCAGGAAACCATTGGTTTTGGCCTTTAAAACTGCGGGCTGTGTCAGTTGAAGGGTATTTTTGGTACTCACCCATTCAGTTGTGAAATGGAAAAGTTTGATTAGAGTCCGGATTAGACTTTGATTTTCTGACATTATTTTTTAAATAATTAATTTAAATTTAATTGATGGACTTAATCTATATTTGATTCAATCACCTATAGTAATCAAACGGTCCACTATTTTTTGGAACTAGTTACTAATTTAATAAGTATGATGAATTAAGTTGATAAATTATATTATTAAATTAAATTTAAATAATATTAGCATTTTTGGATACTTTACTTGTTTATATAATTAAAATGGGATACATAGAAAGTCATCTGATCATATTATTTTAAAAAAAATTTATTATATTTGTTATTAACAACTCAAATTAAAATCTTCAATTAAGACTAATTTGTCAATATAATATTAAAAAAACTATTTGTCTGCACCACCTCCACTTGAAACAGAAATCATGGCTGAATAACTAGTACTTAAATCTCTCTGATGGATTGGGAATAAGTATTTTTTAATTCCCATGTTAAGTATTTTTTTTAACCTTTAATAAGAAATTAACTCATCCATATTTAAGAAAATGATATGGAGACTCCCTTGTCAAAGTTTTCACTAATGAAATAATCGTTTTTTGGGTGGGTAAAACAATCATTTTACGGTTAATGTGATTTCTGTCACGTCTGAAATGGTCCTTTCACCCTTAATGTTTTTCTGATAATAACTCAAAGTTTGAAGTTCAAAGAGTTTTAAGTTTAAAGAGGTGAGGAAATATCCATACAATTTACCTTGTATGGAATTGTTTTTTTCAAATATTGTGCACATGATGGAGATATTTGTAGTGAAGAACATGCTGGTTTTCTTTCAAAAACACTAGGAAATGAACAACCGCAAAACTGTTAACTTAGTGAAGATCTGAGCTTTCACAATTATGGAAGTTGGCAAGAGTATCTGGCAATTGAGGAAACCCATACTAGGAAGCTCCCATTTAGGTCAGCATTCCAAAGGGACTATAATATCCTTAAATTCATTGGGCTCCACTAATAAATTATTGGGAGAATTAAGAGTAATACTATATGAACTTAAATTGTTGACATAATGATGTGATTTTATAAGAATCATTGGATCAATACCAAATTCTAATGTTTGATAAGGTTCATAGTGAATCCAAAAGTCAAAATAAATTAGATTAATAAATTATGTCAATAAATTAGGTTCTAATAGTATTGCTCGAGAATTAATCATGAACAACTACTTCAACAATAATAGAAGCTTAAAAAATTGACATAATTTATTGAAATAAAAATGTGCATAATTTATTGAAATAAAAATGTGACATTTATTTACATAAAGATGTGACAATGAACTTATTTAGAGCTAACTAAAAATCTCAATTTTTTTAGTTTAATTTTAAATGAAAAAAAGTCTGATATATTTAGACCCAAGTCTATTGGGTGACGTTTCGATCAACTTTGTTGGCAATAAAAAGCTGAAAAAAAATTAGTTTATCCAAGAACTTCCAAGGAAAAATCAATTTTTTCACACTTCAAACTCTTTTAAGAGCTTTTTTAACTCTAATTTTTTAATTTTACTTTTCAAGCCATTGTTCCGCACTAAGAAAAGTCAACTATAAACGGACTATAACTATAACTCTTGGACTTTATCATTTGATTTCCTCATTAGACACATCATTATATCAATAAATTAGATCAATTTATTAACTCTCACTAGCATTACTTCTAGTACAACTCCACAAACCTAAAATTGAAAGATACAAGTATGTGTGTTACTGGATGTGCATGATTTGCACGAGAGAGAGAGAGAGAGAGAGAGAGAGAGAGAGAAAATGTGGTGAAAATTTGAACACATAAAACCAGCCATGCAAAGAAAATGCTAAAAAATAAAAGGGAGGATGATGCCATTGTAGTTATTCTAAATGAAAATGGAGAGGTTCCAAATCAAACATGGAAATTCGGGGCACAGTCGAAAGTGAAAAGCACGGGAGAGAGGGCATTAGAATCTGTAAGGACGAGGGAACCTTACTAGTTGGAATCATTCGTGTTTGCCACTTTTAGGGGTCTTTATGCACCCCCTCGCGTCCACAACATACGCCATCTTGCAAAGGAACAATTCAAGTTTATTGAAATCGTTTTTTAAATAAGTCTAACAGTATCAACCCAAAGGAGCCACACGGTTCTCATCGTGCAGCTACTTTTTGGGCTTGTGGGAATTTCGACCAAACTTCAAATAATCCGGATGTTTCAAAATGCATACAACTTCAACTTGATATCAAATTCCCTTCAAGACTAAGATCGACAGGCAAATACATTCAGTACCAGAAGACAAGGGGCTTGGAGAGGCACCGTGCAACAACTAAGAAATTTACCCTTAAATAATGTATCTATCAGGTTTAGGCCTGATATTCGAGGCCGGATTTTATTTTGGCAATCATAAAAAATGGAAAACCATTGAAGTAACCAAATCCAAAGGCTACTAATACACTATTTAGGAGTATAGTTATTTTGCTTATATACAATTAGCTAATCACTAGAAATTTCTCAGCTTGTTATGGGAGCTCATAGTTTCCCGGGAGTGATGAGCAACCATGGTTTGGAAAAAACCCATCAAGTATGCCTCTCTCATCTGGCAGTCATTTGATCAAGCTTACCATCCCGTTGACAGCAACAGTTCCTACATATTGGTTTTTTTTTTTTTTTTTCGTTTTGGTGAGTTACGGAAGAGGCTCTAGAAAACAATTAATAGAAACATTAGGGTAGCAAGATTCAAGTCCATTGATCTTCAATCAAAATACATATCAAAGCAAATATACAAGTTGAGTGTCTGGGATATATTTCGCATGCTAGGAGTTTTCAAATAAAACATACACGTGCGGGTTATAGCATCGTCATCATCGTACCTGTCAACTTTTACCAACAACCTCAGCCAGATTTGAACAGCAACACAGCTTTTGAATCCAAGTAGAAGTAAACAAAGTGGTTTGTCTCATGAGTCACATAAGATCCTACAATAACAAAACCACAAAAATAATACGGTCAATGCAACTTTATCTATAGATAGAAAAAGTCAAATTCTCTCCCTTTCTCTGATAAGAAAAGAGTAATCTAAATGCCACAAGACAAGAAAAAAGATTGTCTGCTTTAATCAGTTTTAAGACCAAGCAACTTAAAACAAATGCCATTTTATAATCAATGAAAGAATTAGATAATGCAGGCAGTGGTTTTCAATCTTGCTTCTCTTCCTAATGAAAAGACTTTAGGCGCTTTGGCATTTTCGGTGTTTGATGTTTCAAGGTTTTTCTCCACGCTGGATCTAATCGATGTCTAATTCAAACGAGCATGCCTACAATTACATGGACCCAGATAGAAAATCTATGACCCAGTTCTCAGCAGGAAGGGCGGACAAGACAATCGCAGCTCCCCTCCCCCCCATCCCAAAAAATAATAATAAGACGGTCAATGCAACTTTATCTATAGATAGAAAAAGTCAAATTCTCTCCCTTTCTGATAAGAAAAGAGTACTCTAAATGCTGCAAGACAAGAAAAAATATTGTCGCTTTAATAAGAAACTTAAAACAATTGTCATTTTATAATCAATGAAAGAATTAGATAATGCAGGCAGTGGTTTTCAATCTTGCTTCTCTTCCTAATGAAAAGACTTTAGGCGCTTTGGCATTGTCGGTGTTTGATGTTTCAAGGTTCTGGATCTAATCGATGTCTAATTCAAACGAGCATGCCTACAATTATATGGATCCAGATAGAAAATCTATGACCCAGTTCTCAGCAGGAAAGGCGGACAGCCCCCCCCCCCCCCCCCCCCCACAAAAAAAAAAAAAAAAAAAACCCCACCTCTAGTAATGGCACTTGAACCACAAAAGGGGAAAGATGTAGCTAGTGAATCTGAAAATTTCTATTTTACCACCCATCTACAAAAATAAAGAGACTAAAATCAAAAAATTTGGCCATTACACACTAGAACAAAACTGGAATCAGGTTTAGAATAGTGCAAACAGAATTCAGGACAAAAACCTTTCCTGATTGTCCAAATTGCATCTGAATACGTGCACAACAAAACAAATTACTATGCTCTCCAATTGGATAAAAAGATTTCATTTATACATGAGCTGATCTGAAAATCAAAACCCCTTAACAAATGGGATGTTAATTAAGTTATTACTGCATCTTGATGGATGTATGAAACCTTTGGACCCTTTTTAAAACAATATAGTTTAAAAAGATGATTATCAACCACTATGAATGGTAAAACATACTGCTGCATTCAGACAGCCTCACACAACGTATTTGGTGTGATGGTTGGTTAAAAATTTTGATCCTTTCATAATGAACGATTTCCTCCTCACTAGCTCTCACAGAAAGCATTGGCAGATCTTAGGTTAAATTCACTCATATATGTCCTTCAACCAGAGGCAGCATGGTTGAATTGAAAGTGATATCTCATACAACTTATATAATTGCTTGCAAATGCCTACAAGAAATGCAATCCTGAAATAAGTTTCTACAAGAGCAAGACCATAGTTGCTTAGACAATTCACATGAGAATTCACCCCTCTAAAGAAACTTCAAAATATCTTGTACACTTTGTATTCCAAAGTTCACTAAAACCTACCAAACTACCAAGATATTTTTGAAACGCAACTTCCACAGTTGCAAGATAGATGAGCATATTAGACATTAAGTTGTGAACACGCATTAGATCACTTCCATATGCATGAAAATTAGATAATATACTACCGAAAGAATATGCAACCATGCCACAAGAAATAAAAGCACAATTGAATGTCTCATTTCCCTTTAAGGTGTCAGCACAACTGGGCTAGACAAATCCCATTCCAACGGAGCCCAACCAATCAAGTAGCGAAACTATCGAGCCCATGACTTGGATTATCCTGGCTTAAGCTTCAGCGAGTGAGCCAATTTTATATGGTGGAACATCTAACAAGTCCGCTATCCAATTTTTTTTTTGGTCCTTTCTCTTGTATTGTATTAATTGATGAAACACAATAGTGGTCTCAGTAATAGTGTTGTTCCACTTTTCGATCATGCAAAGATAAGAAAATGTTTCAAGTGCTCATCCAGCCAAGCAACAAAATCATTTATGATACTTCAAAACTGAAATTTTCTACATACAAACCAAGCAACCTCCCAGCTCAAGTCAACATTTCTCAGTGTTTCTTGTTTAAAACACATGATGCTCAGGTCATAAGTGTGTCAAAGATCTCAACTCTTTCTCTGATACTTTTTGTGAACCAAACAACCATATCTAGGTGTCTATTTGGTTACCCTAATCATTCCATTCTGCCCAACCACTGCCACAAAAGAACACCATCCAACCTTGTAAACGATCACACTTTTAGTTTCATTTCTTTAAATGATAAGCAAGAGACCACAAATTCATTTACTAACTTCCTTCGTGCCTGTGTAAATGTCATATATGCATAATGGCACCAGGTAAGTCCAACAAACTTAAGGTTGAAAGAGCTTAGGGGATCAAGCCTTAGCACAAGGAACTTAAAGATTCCGAGATCCTTTAATTTTTGGGCAGTGGAAAAAGGGAAGCGTGTGTCTCAGTTCTCCAAATTCAGGTACATATGCAATCACAATATACACGCACAGAAATTTCCATGCGTGTGAGAGAATCTGTCGTTGATTCCTACACTGCCTGTATTTGCAAATCAAGCCTTAAGGTGCTTCCAGCTTGTGTATGAGGGGACAGAGAGTTCGCAGCAGGTGAATCAATATAACTTCTATAAGCACATATACACCACAAACCACCAGAAATTTAATAAAATGAGGAAGTAATGGTTCGATTAAAGCACAGATCTACACCATTTCGAAGCAAACAAGGAACACAGATCACTCAATCAAATAGATATTAATCAGTAAATTAAACAGAAAGAAATTAGATTAATAAATAAATCTAAAAATTAATACTATGAAGAAAGGAGGCAATATCAGATGGTTACCGAAGTTTTTGCCTACGATACAATGCCAAGTAGGTCCATGCTTCTCGTCGAACTCCTTCTTTATCTGTTCTGCAACATCCTTCTCTACACTGTTCTTCTCAAACGCCTATAAAGTTTACACACGCACACACACAAAAATCAGCGTTCACTACGTATAAGTGAATTCAAATCAAACGATTTGGTTTAGAGAGAGAGGAGGTGTACGGCGATGGCAATGTCGACGGCCTCTTTCTGCATATCATCCTTCATATCGGCACTCTTTACAATGACTTTCTTGCCTGCGCCCGGCAACGGAGCTGCCGCCGCGGCCGATGGCTTCCGATCGTCGGCGGAGGGTTTCGCCACCATGGCTCCTCCGCCGCCGATTCTCTTCGTTTCCTCACTCATTTTAGTCCTTTGTTTTGGTTTTGGTAAAGCGTGCGTGTGTGTGTGAGAGAGAGAGAGAGAGAACGAGAGAGACACAGAGAGAGACTGGTCAGAAGAGATCTTACTGGTTTGGACCTTCTTGCACTGTTTTTTTTCACTGGTATCAATACGACTGCCAGATTTTTTCTACCGGCAGTTGCATACATAAGGATAGGCAACTGCCCGGATTTTTTGGCTCCATGCCCATTATAAACGGGGTTATTGATCGGTCAGCCTCCGGGCTCAGTCCAGCCCATCAGAAAATATGAGGCCAGTGGCCTGCCCAACCGACCCGTTTGATCAAGTTGGTCTTTTAATGTATCGAATTTTAATTCGATTCTAATTCAAATTTAAATTCGTTTATCCGGATATGAATTAAAACTTTAATTTATTAATTTGATCCAATTCAAATCCATATAATTTGTTAAACAAATTTGGATTTAGATTTAGATATACATTAATCCAATCACACTAAAATTTAATATATATATGTGTGTATGTGTACATATACAACCCCTTTCCCTCTCTTTCGTCACCCCGTTCTCCTTTCTCATTTTTTGTCATTGAATTAGGTGAATAGATGATAAAATCTATAATATAAAATAAGATAAATTTTAATAAGTTCATCTGACGATTTCAACTATATTCATCCAACAGTTACCAATATCTCTCTCAAAACTATTCATGTTGTATTGTGCCTTCAGGCACTGAGTAGCCCTTAAATTATAATTATTGGAATTAGGTGATTTATTGATGAAAATAAACTAAAATTTAGCAATAATTTGATGAAAAAAAATTATAACACGAGGTAATTTTATAGAAATTCAAATTATTTGGATTGAATCGGATTATCAGATTGGATGTCCATTTAATAACAGATTCAAATTTGAATTGTGATTTCGATATTGAATCTGATTCAGACTCATTTTTTTTAAATGGATTCAGATCCAAATTGCCTAAAATTCAGTTCAAATCTGATCTGTTAACATGCCCATCAACAAGTACGCCACATGCCAACAAGTGGGACAACCTTAATGGGCTTTAACGCCATTTTGTCTTAAGGGGTTCAGCACTTTTTCTATAAATTATAAGACAGGAAGTATCGCTTTTAAAAACATAGATTAAAAAGTATACAAACCCTAACAAATCTATAAAATACTCCCTTCAGTAAAATGGGATATCAATTATTACACATAAATCCCTTCAATATCGCCGGAAACCTCATTCTACAAAAAATTTTCATAAAACCTCTTTTTGGATCTTCAAAACTTCCAGTTGATCGTTGCTAAATAAGTGAAAATCACTATTCACAAGTAATGGGATTTTTTATTGTTACACCGTGAATAAGTGGAAATCTCACCAGAAAATATATATTCTTTCCAATGTTTGGTGAAAAACCTTCCCTAAAACCTCTTTTATTTTCAAAACTTTCATGTTGATCGCTGAATAGGATGTGAAAATCCCTTTGAATAAGTGATGAATTTTTTGATGGGTTCATTGTGAATAAGGGAAAATATCGGTATTAGACAGTGACGATCATACCGAAATTCATAGCTGAAGAAGAAGATCATTGAGTTTTTGAAAAAAAAAAGTTAATAACACAAGAAAAATGTTGTTTCTTTCGACGTTTTTATTTTATCTACTTTTTTCCCCTCAATTACCTTTCTACTTCTGGTGTTTGGTATTACATACACACCAAGTGTTTGATCATTTGTCAAAAAACAAAATCAAAGAGGTCGTATACATTGTGTCATGCGTCATGTCAATGTATGCAATGTGACATTGACTTACAATAGTGTGACATTGGTTTGTAGCAGTGTGAATTTAGTTTGTAGCAATGTGACATTTTTCTTGTACTAGTGTGACATTGTCTTGTAGCGCTATGACATTATCGTGCGAGGCAGCAACTCATCATCTTGATTATTACGATCATTCTCATTTGAGTCATCATCATTGACATTTATCCTCATATGAACATGATTTATGTTAAGAGATTTTTAAATATATATATATATATATATATATATAAACGACATATCTGATGCACTTCTTCCATTGCAACTAACTGCAATATGTTTGAAAACCCGGTTACGAAATGAAGTGAATGACAGAGGCAATGGTTTGAATGATATAGGAATAGATATGGAATGTTTGAATAAACGGTTGGTCAATCACACATGAATAGGTAATTTAAAATTCAAAAAAGATATAGCATAAAATTATGAAACTGAATCTTTAATATAATTGTCATATATGTCTCTAATTAATAAAGGAAAAGAACAATTTAGTAAGAGAAAAAAATACAATTCAACAAAAGTATCTTCACCAAACATTTACACATAAAGATATTTATACACGTGTTTTATATTGAGGTACTTTTAAAAAAAAAATATTGAGGTACTTTTGCACAAATAATTATGAAAGAGTGTACATTTTCACAATTTTTCCAATAATTAATTCTAATTATAAGCCTGGTATTAGTTTATTTGTGATCATCAATCAAAATTTATAGATTAAAATTAAATAATAAAAAAGTACAACACTTTACATGCATCGAGCTTTTATTAGTAAACTAAAAAATAGGAAATACATTGCCAAAACATATAATTTTTTAGTACTGTAATGTAACCCAGGTTAAAATCCCAACAACACTCAAATAATTCAGGAGAAATGTTTTATTTACTAAATCAAAACTCAAATATTTTATGCCAAATGTATGAGCACTCCACATTGAATAAAAAATTTATTTTTTCTCGATCCATAAAATGATATATATGATGCATATACGTTTAAAATATGAGATTTGGATTATAATTTGGACAACATAATAGTGTTCATAATTAGTTTTTCAACGGTTATGAATGATCGAGTCAGGTTACATGCATTTTGACTAATCCTATTTTTGACATGTCATTTACACTAAGACTAAAGTATTCATGATATATAAATCTCTCACGTCTTAGTTTCAATAGGTTGTCAATTTTTTTTTTTGGGTACACAAAATGAATATGCAGATAAGTCACTTCACATATCCTCCATAGAACATTATTTCTCAGCACTACATAGTAATCTGTGGTGGACTTTACCGCACCTGTGTCAGGGCTGAAATTTAGAGGTTGTGTTGGTAATTGTTTTGTCCTGTGTTTTGTGTTTTTGTTTTTAATTTTTGTTAAAAATGAAAGCAAAAATATGTTTGAGTACTATTTTTGTTTTTATTTTATATTAGTTGTATTAGAGACAAAGACAAAAAAATGAGAACAAAAAATTTGTGTTCTAGAAAATATGTGAAACACAAAACACGCGGGATTGGGGTTTAATAAGGTCTCAACTTGGACCCTTGTTAGCCACAAAATATTACTCTATATGAGAGAATATAAATATGGGGTCTTAATCGTTTGGTCCTCACCGAACACACGACTCAACAGATCGACGAAGAAGGCGAGCTCTGAGCACCTCTCTTTTTTTCTTTGTCTCAGCGAGCTCTCTCGGCAGATTGACAAAGAAAGCTTACCTCAAGAAAAAGAACTCTCTGTCACAAATTGACAAAGAAGGAGTTTCCTTTTGCTGTGAAGGTAAGTGTAAACCTTTTACTTGTACATATATATATATATACACACACATAGATCTGTCCATGACAACCCCTTTTTTTTGTTTTATCTGTATATATATGCATAGATCTTCCTTTTTTTTTTGTTTAATCTGTATTTTTTCACCACAATATACATCAATTTGTATTTTTTGTCTCTGTTTGTCTCTATCTCTCTCTGTGTGTCCGTTTTCGTTTGACATTGCTTCACATTCTTTATTCTCTCTGTGAAGCACGTGATTTCTGACTCATGTGCCTATTTAATTTTTTGAATGCTTCACTAGATTTATATGTCAGTTTGTAAAGTGAATATTTATGTTTAATAGTCTTTTTTTTTGTTAGGGTTTTAATTTGTATGTCTAAGCAATGTACTAGCTTTATCTACTTTGCAGATTTTTTTGAGTCACTAATTCGTTGATTTGAAACTTGGAAGAAAATGAAATCTTGAATACCCACGAATAAGAATTTTCAGACAAGGCCAAGTTAAGTGTCTTGTGTAATTTATTCAAAGCTTCAATATATTCAGAAAATTGATAAAATTCTATTTATAACTCAGTAGTTACGACCTCAATTCTCGTGTTAACTTAATACAGTACATGTTAAGTTTTTTGAACAACAAATTCATACCCCGTAAACCTTTAAATTACAGGGGATGGGGGAGTTGCAAGGGGTGGGTTTTGGTGAGGAATGAGTTGCAGGGAGTGGGTTTTGTCGTGGAATGAACTGTAGGGGTGGGTTTGGGTGCAGAATTAACTGCAGGGGGTGATTTTGGGTGAGGAAAAAATTGCAAAGGGTGGGTACATGTTGCTTGCCTTTATTGTTTACTTGGATTTGATGTTAAATTTGATTTGTTTACTTGTACACCTTGATCCATGTTGCATTTGTGAATTAGTAGTATGGTTATGTGCTGAGAAATTGTTGTAGATGAAAATGGGTAACAAAGAAACTCATGATGATAAGGTTGTAGAGGTTGACCATGTCAAAAATATAGTCATATGGACGTCTAATAAGGTGGCAATTTTCGTTGATTTGATGGATAGGGAAGTAGCAACGAGGCATAGACCAAATATAAGACTAGGTACAACTACATGTATGAACAACCACAAAGAAAGTTTAATAATTTAAAACTTGTTTACCATGCTTTCAAGAAACTGTTGAATCAAACTGAAGTTGGTTGGGATCCTGTGAAGAAAACAATTGTCTTGGAGGATGAGGTTTGGAAGGATTTGTGCAAGGTAGGTTTTAGTATTAATTACTATCCATTTTTTTTAACCATAATGACAAATGGTTTTAGGTTAATAAGTATTGCTTAATTTTAATTATTTTCATTTAATATAGGATAATAAGCATGCCAGACAATTCAGGAAAAAGGGTGTCCACATTACGAGAAGCTGTG